TTTCAAAAGATCCTAAGTAACAAATGTAAACAAATCGAGTTAAGTGATACAAACTATTGCTTTTCTATATAAATGTGTGTGATACAAGAACACCCATCCAAATTAGAAATACTCAGAGGGAGCGATGGGCGGAGAAAACCAAATACAATTCGGCAGCAGGGATTTGTACCTAAATAATCTTGCAACCCTTGCTAGAAGCTAGCATTTCACATGACGGTTACTTTTGATTCGATTTACGTGCAAATTAATAATTGATTACATCGCAATATTTTGCACATTTCTTTGTGCCATTCATTAACCAACTAAAATCAATTAATCAAAAGAGTTAGAATATTGTTTTTTTTTTATTCAAAAAACTAGTTGAACTTGAGAAACACACGAAACATAGAGGTGATTGAATTTCTGTTCGATTGTAATACTCTCGAATTTAATCTAGTTAGAATAAGAAAAAATCTAATGGGAATGTCCGATTGACTCAGATTTTGACAGTTCATTTGGCTCAAAACATTCCTTCCGCTTATCTCTCCCTCTCAGTATTTCTAATCCAAATATACTTTCAAAAATTGTCCAATGTACAGTTTGAATTGATGAGTACATGATTGTTACTTCGGTCATTTGGACTGCCTAACATGATTGGTGCTCGTTTTCTAAAGGCGGGGCCAATCTAAAGTTAGGTATTCTACTCTGAAATCTGTGAAAGGGAATCTAGTATCATGTAGAACAAAACGTTCAATGTAACACTCATTGATTATGTCATTGAGAAAAAATCGTCCAATGTAACATGTCCGATGTACAACTTGACTAGTCAAAACGTCCTATGTGGTTTTTTTTTCTATATTCTAGCATGACATTCAAAGTAAAATTGCGATTTTACCGTTTCTACTGAATTTTCAACGGTATTATTCACTGACTACATTAAAAATAGTATTGCAAAATGTACAGTTGGAAAGGGGAGAATTTCCCCTACCTGATGGTGTTGTTAGTTTTAGCATAGAGGTAACTCTAAGACCACTGGGTCCCGAAGAAAATCATTATTATTTTTGGCTCACTCAGTACCAGAACAACGGTCCCAAGCAGTCCCAAGCTATTTCACTCACCCCTGCATGTTCTGCATGAATCCACACACCCCTGATGTTATCTGTCAAACTTTCATAGCGAATCAAAACAAACATAGTGTAGTAATAGAATTTCAACTAGAATAGGGTACGTTAATCGTTTGCTTGGGACCAATAGGCTACTAAAGTGGTGAGCCAATTTAAAATCGTTAGTTTCGTATTGATTGTTGGTTTAGTGGGCGTATACGGTTCGCACGAAAAGAGCTTAACAAGTTTTGCGTACAAAAGTTGATAGGCCTGTTTCAAATGTTACGCGAGTATTTATTCGTGTGTTCACTCAAAAATATTACAAAACGAATATAGATTAAATTTTATGCATTTTATGGTTTTTCAAAATTTATACATTGGTTCGATTAAAATTTTCGTCAAAATTATACTAAGTCCGAATAACGGAGTGAAATTCGATCAGTGTTAACTAAAATGATAGGAAAAATAACATTTGGATTCTCTTCGCAGCTTCGTGCTGGTGAAGAGCTTTGTTCCGGTGCATTTCAACTGCACCTGTGATCTGCTGGGCAGCTAGACTGCTTGAGCACGAGTTCATCTTAATGAACATCGAAATTGTAAGTATTTTTTAAATAATAATATTAATAAAAAATAAAATAATTAAAAAAAACCTTCCACAAACAATTTGTATTTATATTTGAAAACAATAATATTTACCATCAATGGAATAAAGAAGCCAATAAGACATTCTCTCGAATAAACCGTATCTATGCATTGTAAGTATATTTCGATTTTATACTATGGCACGCATAAACCATTTTTATACTAAGTTTGCATTCTCTCCATTTATACCGACCTTTGCGTCGGTACGGAGAGTTGCGATTTAGCGTAACTTTTATACTTTAGATTTCATTATTTTTTTAGTGTTCATTTTTAGTAAAGAGGACAGCGTTGTCAGATACACCGGTTTATCGGTATTTATACCGATTTCCGAACTAGATACCGATATACAGATAAGGTTCCACAGAATACCGATTTTTGAGGTGTTATACCGATGTACACCGATTTTTTTAAATAATCAAAATCAAAATTTTTGTGTGCGACTTGTATCTTTTTGAAAATCTCAAATTTTTTGAGTCTTTAGTTCTAAAAAATATCATTTTCAAAAATGTCTTATGTATACTCTCTCGATTAATGTTTCAATTTCCCCACCGTTTTTGGTTCCCATGAATCGATAAACAGTCGATGGCACTTTCTGGTAATTCCGGAGGAATCGGGAAATACGTTTTAAACGTTATTTAACTTCCTGGATTTTCTTCCAACTTTCCCCTGAAATTTTCTTTTTACGATTTCTCTCGGAAACATACTTCGACTTCCCTTGGAAGCTACTTCAGTCTTCGCTCGAATGATTCTTCCCGGAACTTCAGGGATGCTTCTGGATTTTGATTGCGGATCCACACTAGCTGCAGGAACTTTTAAAAAGTTCTGAAACTTCAGAAAAGTCCAGACTTTTGAGTAAGTTTCGATAAATTAAAGAATGTAACTTCTGTTAAAATTCTAAAACCCGGTCCAGCGAACTCCAGTGAACTAAAGGAAACATCATAAATATTTTGGATACTTCACAAGTTCAAAGAACTTTTGGAATATTTAATGGTTTTCAGGACAGTTCCATTAGTTTCAGGAGAATTGAGAGAACTTTAGGAAGCTCCGAGAACATCAGGACAATCAGAAAAGATCAACACATTTCAAGGAAATCGCTGAAATTTCAAAGGACTTCCGAGAAACTCAGGCAATTGCCGATAACTTCAGCATTGTTCCGAGGGGCTCATGCAAATTTAAGAAACGTAAGGGAAGTTACACAAACATTATCACATTGTGAGAAAATTTTATGGGAAGTTCCGTGCTTATTGATGGCAGTGTCGATAGCTTTTAAAAATTAGAAAAATCGGGAAGATCAGAGAACTCCAAAGCTGATGTTACAATAAATTCAAGAAAATTGTGAGAGTGCTTAACTTATTTCGTAATCTTCAAGAAAGTCTAGAAACCTTCAAAGTTGATTAGAGATATTCCGGTAGTCTCATTATAATCAGGGGAAGTTCCAACTATTTCAAAGATGATCAGAGTACTCCAAAACAGCCCGAGGAAATATGGAATATTCCTAAGTACATTTCAGGAATGTTCCAAAAACTTCAGGGGCATTGCGGGGTCTGCAGGGATCTTTTATGACCATTTGGAAAATTTTATCGATCATTAGAACATCCCCCAAGAGCTTTTTCTTCCCGAATTATGACCTTGTTTCTTTCGACTGTTCTGTTAGCACTCGGGCTTTCGACTTCCTCCAGATTTTTTTTTCCAATATATCTTAGGAAGTTTCTGCCAGCGTCTTCAGGAAGTTTCCTCCGCCTTCTCCAGGAAGTTCAATTAAACTTCTCCCAGAAAATTCTTTCGTCTAGTTCTGGAATTTTGTCCAGTTGGTTTTTTTTACTTCTCTAGGAAGGTTTTTTCGAGCTTCTTCTGGCTTCCCCTGGAAATGGCTATGTCTGAAATTTATTTCCGATTTCCGAAACTTTTCTGCTTTCCTGTGAATGTGAAATCCGATTTTTTTCTGAAAGTTTCTTTAAATTTTCGCTCGAAGTTTCTCAATTTATGTCTTGGAAGTTCCGTGGATGTTTTTCCGACTTCTCTAAGAACTTTTCTCAAATTTCCTCCAGGAGAGCTTCTATCGCTGGCTCTTGTTTTCAGCTTCCTCCAGAAGCTAATTCAAACATTCTCCGGAGTTTTCTTCATAGTCCAAAAGCTCGTCCAAAAGTTAAAATTTTCGCTTTCAAAAACGCCAAAAATATATAATTAATTAAAATAGTAAATACCGATAAATACCGATTTTTTAAAACCTTTGATACCGATAAGCTATAAAACATTCTGGCAACGCTGGAAGAGGGCCCCGCTGTGTCACTTTTTGTCGAGTGAGTGAACTTAAATCCACCCATGCACTCGTCTACTCGCTAAAGTACTCATCCCATAAATATGTCAAGATCACAGGTATAAAAATCAAACTATACAACGTTCAGAATTGAACGGCGCCGGTGGTGTAGTGGTAAACGTGATTACCTCTCACCCCAGAAGGCCTGGGTTCAATCCCAGTTGGCGCCGCCGGGATGTTCTGAGGCATAACATCTCTGATCACGCCTTCCTTCGGATGGGAAGTAAAGCCGTTGGTCCCCGGTTCATGAGTTGATGGGTCGATAGGTAGGGTCCAGGTGTGGGAGCTGCCTTCCTGGCACGTCGGTAGCATTGGTGCTCAGCACGGAAAACAAGATCGACGGAAAAAAACAAACCAAAAAAAAAAAAAAAAAAAAAAAAAAACGTTCAGAATTGGAACCTACCTAACTAATAACCCAAGAATTAAGTAAAGTAAAGAAGGAAAATCTAAGCAACTATTAAATCAAATTTATACTTATATTTTTAAATTCAATCAATAAAATACGTATCCGTGTTGAGTGAACGGTACTCAAATATGAGTTAGATTCACTTGCCGTATAAATTCTACTCATTAAGGCTCTGAACCATTTGGTGGATTATTTTAACTTTTGGTTAAAATTTGACAGATGGAAAGTTATCGATTAACCCTGCTATCCGAGCATGGTTATTTCTGACAGACAAGAAGTTAAATTTTGACAACCGTGGCTCGAAAACCGGTCGAGCGACAGCACAGGGATTTTCGAACATAGAAAATAACTTTCGAAATGTCACTTTTAACCACGAGTTAAATTTAACTCGGCAAATGGTTCACAGCCTAAGTAAATCCACATATTATTACTCAATTTTGAGTTTATCTGATCAACGGTGTAGAACATTATTTGAGTGCCGAAATAGTTCACAAGCACATTCACATCAAGGCGAAACGTCAAACTACTCTGATTCAAAACAAAACAAACCTTCTAGCCGGCTATCAGCCGAAATCGCGTGAGTAAATTATTCTACTTTTTCCGCTTTCATCACAATGGATTTCTTCCAAAAAGTTCCGAAAATCGTAAGTAACTAGCCAATTACCGATCAATTTAACGATGTAATATTAGACAGCTTGTTTTCCGCTATAGGAACTTCATGCCCATTTGAATGGATCGTTGAGCAACCGAACGCTGCAGGAGCTGAGGAAGTTGAAATTCGGCCAGGAAGATAACAGCAGCAGTTCGGGTGACGAGAGCTTCTACAGGATTACGGGTGGCCAGAATTTGACCCTGAAAGAGTGAGTAAATTCAACAAACTGTTTGCAACTCAAGCTAAACTTTTAAGCCGATTCTATATGTGCTTGATTTGAAGCATCAATGGAATAGTTTTAGGAAGGTGAACAGGGTAGTTGAGCCAGTTTTTGCTCCTCTATTTGGCCCTATCATAATTTTAATAAATTAATCAATATAGATAATTTACACATTTTTTTCATTCCTTACCAAATCAATTTCGATACAAGGTCAAAAATGGTTTAACAAACGTCAAACGGTCAACCATCACCAACATGTTTTCAATGCGCCAAAAATGACCATAGAAAATCTGAAATGATTTAGAATACCGAAGATGACTTTAAAACTGAAAAAAAAAATAACTTAAAATCACCAACCAGATCAAAAACTGCAAGACTGGTTCTTCAAAACGCAAAAAATAGCTCCATAATGAAATAATAAAAAATCCTTGAAACGCCAAAATACTGTTTTAAAAACAGCAAAACAGGCTGAAAACTGCGGAAAAGGGCATTGGATTTCGTAAATTGTTTTGAAACTTTCACTGGCTATTTAAAAGTTATAAAAATGAATTGCTCACCAAACACCAAAAGCCCGTCCTGAATGATTCCGATTTATCTATTCTAAGAAAATGTTGTTCTTCTTCTTATTCGCATTTCAAGCTTTTCGCATAATATTATTAGCTTATTGCGTGATCTCAACATAGTGATTTCCACAGCTATCAATTGTGAGCTTTCGATGCCTGTACCCAGGGAAGTCGAGAAATGTTCCAAATAGAAAAATTCCTAGACCGGATCGGGAATCGAACCCAGCCACCTCCAGCATGGTCTAGCTTTGTAGCTGTGTCTTTACCGACTGAGCTAAGGGAGGCCCATGATCTGAAATTCAGAACAGTTTTCCCTCTTCTTCTTCTTCTTCTTCTTCTTCTTCTTCTTCTTCTTCGTCTTTCCTTTATTTAACGTCGGTCTCTGTTCCGCAATCTTGTGCTGAATTTAGGCTCTTTAGTGCCAATCACCGACAGACATCAATTGACATCCATTGACGGCAATCGAATGTGCAGGAAGGCAGCTTCCACACCTGCGTAGGATATCGCACCCATTTACAACACAACACATGGGCCGGGACCAACGGCTTTACTTCCCTTTCGTGTTTACACTTATGCCATTTCACTAGCGCTAATGAGCCAGCTGCTAGCAAAAAAGGTCACAAGCATAATGCAAACAGGGCATCAGCGTCTACCAGCATGAGATTTCAGGAGCAACTGAAATTCGTGCTAGTTGGCTAGTACACTAGCGCTAGCAAATCCGCACAGATGTAAACACCCCATAAGGGCGTAAACGGGATGATCGATTCTCATCGTGATTTTTGTTGGTTTTAATAGCTCGCTTGGATTAACATTTCTCGGTGCGTTTGTTGTTCATTTTGATGGCCAATACAAACTGTTACAGCACTGTAAATTTCAGAAAATTGCTTCCCTTAGCTGTAGCAATTTAAAGAGAAAATCGACAAAGAGCGTTTACCCCCTTATGCATGTTCACTGTCGAAATTATTACTTAGCTTTTTGACACATACAGCTAACAAATTGGCAGCCCAGCACATGCTGCAAACGAACGCAAACCCAAGTAACATTGCAGGTTTTATCGAGGGTCCTTCAAGTATAAATGACCATGATAAAACTGAAATTGTTACTTGGGAATCGTTCAATGTGACTTCCCAACAAACAATTTGTGCTGATTAAAGGCCCAAACGCAATGACAGCGGAAGCGAAACGGCAGCGGCAGCGGAAAAGCCCGATTTGAGTAAGCCTACTTGTCGGATTGAAAACTAGTTAGAATCAAATCGACTTCGGTTGGGCATCTTGATGTCATTTGTGACAACTGTCAAACTTTCCGTTTCCGTTCCGCTTCCGTCCACATTGCGTTTGGGCCTTAAAGATGAGTTTTTAGCGGAAGAAGCATATTTTTGCCTGAATGGGTAATCTATTGTTCTGCTTGGTTTGTCCTGTTTTATTTGAGATGGTTTTGTAGATATTGATTGGCCAGGTTTGAAATGGATAGGTTTCGATAGGCCGAGACTTCGAACAGTTATTACTCTCACCGGTCAATGAGAGTAACACAAAATTGAGTCGAACTTAGCTCAAAATTGCAAAAAGTGGAGTTACTTAAAACTGCTTGAATATGAGGAAAATCGACCAACATTTTACTCAGTCTAGGTGTCTACTACTGAGTGAAATATCACTCGATTTTCCTCATATTCAAGAATCGAGGAAAATTTTACTCTTTCAGTGAGTAATCCACTTTTTGCCATTTTGAGTCTAATTCGACTCAATTTTGAGTTACTCTCATTGGCCGTGTATAACTTCCGAGCCTTTGGCTCGACGGATGCTTTCCGGTTTCTTCTGCTTGTTGGACGCCTTTAGAACGATACTTTCCTTGACACGTTGGACATTACTCTTCGATGTTCCCACACTTATTTTTGACATAGCCTTGTGTGAACTTCCTGTCCAGCTTCCGGTCCACAGGTTGAGGTTTTCGACCAGATGTCGGTGTTTCCTGGAACCTAACTGCCGGAAGACTTAGCGAATTTCCTGGCAGATTGGGAATAGTATAAGACCTTTGTGCGCTTTTCCGTGATAAAACTTGTTGAGGACCCAACTCAAATTTCTGTAGGGGAAACGCTCCTATAGTTGCGGTACGTTAGTAGCGTTAGGCTCCTATAGTTGTGTACGGAGTCTCCATACACAACTATAGGAACCTAACGCTTCTAACGTACCGCAACTATAGGAGCGTTTACCCTACAGCTCAGAGATGTTCTTTGCCGCGCCGCCGTTCTAACTCATTCCAAAATTCTGAAACGAAACAAAAAACCAACAGATGCTTTCAAAAGTTCACCTACGCCCACGAGCTAACGGACCAACCGGAAACGCTAGCCTGTGCCAAGCAGTCCGTGATTCGAGAGTTTGCCGAGGACAATGTGGTCTACCTGGAGCTCAGGACGACGCCCAAATCGACGGCCAACATGAGCAAACGGCAGTACCTGACTACGGTTCTGGAAGCGATCAGGTTGGATGTGAAATTTTCCTTCAAGCAGGACGATATGTTAATGATGTTCGGAATTTCCTCAGGAAAACCCATCAGGACCTGCCGTCTATTACCGTAAAGTTGCTGCCATCGATCGATCGTTCCAAGGGGCTCGTGGAAGCCGAGGAGAACGTCGCATTGGTACTGGAACTGCTCCGCGCCTATCCGGACATCATCAAGGGAATGGATCTGAGTGGCGCTCCGTTTGGGACTAAATTTTCCGACTACGCAAAACTCATGAAACCGGCTCAGGTCGCTGGATTGCGGATGGCCCTGCACTGCGGAGAGTTCGACGATGACCAGGAGGTTCGGGAAATGTTCGAGTTCGGAACGGATCGCATCGGTCACGGGACGTTCATCAAGGGCGAAAATCTCCAATTTGCCAAGGAGAAGGGAATTCCATTCGAATGTTGCCTCACTAGCAACTTGAGGTGCAGTACGGTGTCTTCCTACGAGAAGCATCATTTCGGGATGCTGTGGGAGGGAGGATTCGACGTTTGCATCAATGTAAGCGTGAACACCGTTGTTCAAAGGGAATGGGTTGAGAATGACTTTTGTTGATCCATTTCAGACGGACGATTTCGGAGTGTTTGACACAAGCCTTTCGAAGGAGCTGGAAATCTGTTCCAAAACGTTCGGCCTATCTCAGGATGATATTATCGAGCTCCAGGAGCGAACCATCAACTACACGTTTGCCAGCGACGGCGAGAGGCAGCAGCTAACCGAGCAGTTGAATAATTTTAAAAATCAAATGAAAGACAACTGACAACTGCTCTAATATAGCATTCTTTTTTATTCTGACCTAAATCTTGGTTTCGTTACATGTTTGATTTTTTTTTGTTTCAATTTAATCCTAATTTACACTTTTGGTTTCATACAATTATCCTGTTCTACAGTACTCCTTTGTGCGGTGCGGTTCTGTAAAAAAAACCACACACATCGTTCTCGCTCTTGGCACACTCTTTCCGAAGTTCAATTCTGATTTGAACCCCCTAAAGAGGTACGTTCTTCGGCTGATTACCCTTAACTCTTCGTTACCTTTAACATTTCTAGTTAACAGCTTGATTCACTGAACTACACTGATGTGTTGTCTTACAGGCTAAACTAACTGAGACTAACTGATTGAACAGACGAAAGCGAACAAGTTGTAAAATTGGTATATTCAGACTCTGCTCAAAAGATTCGGCGGTTACGATTTGCGCTTCGATTGTTATGCAACGTAAAATGAAACGAAACGTAGGTTGGGTAGGTAGTGATTTCTGTTTTCCGAAGAGAATTATTGTCATTTCGTTCAACAAACGGGGCAGAATCCTCAACTAATAGTGGTTGGATGGTTTTGGGCGTTTTTCTTTTTCTTTTTTCGGTAAGACTAGATTTGATTTAGAACTAATTATAGTTTACAGTATTTGGTTGCTTTCCCTAACGGCTAGTAGTACATTTTGGCTGAACGACAGTTATTGTTTTATTCGAACGTTTTTTTTTTGGTTGTGTAAAATATTGCTGCTTTCTTCTTGGTTGGTTTTCCTGCACTTTGTGGCTGCGTGTGGGGTGAAGAAAAAACCGAAATACCTATAATTTTTTTCTGGATTAGCTCGTGGGATGTAAGTTTTGCAAAAAGCTTTTTACGATTCCATACGTATATCAGGTTTTGCTCAATGTTGGGTTTGAGTTGATCCTTTGTCTATTGCTTGGAGTGAATTTTATCCTAAAGTGAATGTTTGCCGTAAATTCTACTTCATTTGTCTGGATAATGAGAGTGCAATACCTTGTTTGTGGTTTGTTCCCTTCTATAGAATCTTAAGACGGATCCACTTTGAATAAATCTAGCAACTAGCAAGTATATTTTGAAACAGTGCTGTAATTCGTTGGGGCTACAATGGGAATGGAGTTAGATAATTGCCGTTCTGTACATGTGTTTCACTAAATTTTGTAGAGTGTCGTGTCTAGATGGATTTGACAAACTTAAGTTAATTTATTAATTTATCTTTATTAGGGAGGCTTTCAGCCTGGGGCTGGTTCGCCTAAACTTCAGTTAGTCAGATTAACCAAACTCGGTCCGATTTGCCAACCTATTGCGGTATGATCGACTGATTAGCCGGAAACAAAGTCGATCGAGCATACCGACGCAACCCGATCTAGCAGGTACACCCAAACATATCTATAAACAGAGAAAGATTAAAATTTAATCATTTTATGATTAAGCAACGGTTACACATTGGTAAGATTAGCCAAACGGCGGAATTCGAGGGATAATTGAAGCTAATGAATTAAATAGGCAGCCGAGTTACTGCTGATAGCTATGACTGAGAGAGCCAAGAACTACCTACGACGTTGTATCAGAACTAACCACGAGATGGCCCAGCAGCTAATCCAGGAATTCCGAATGAGGAACGTGGACTGCAGGTCAATCTTCCAACTGAACTTTCGGTGGTGACGCATCCCAGTGTTAGGAGAAGTTCCACCTACGAGGGTCAGAAACCTAAGCTAGTCGACATCTCCAAAGGTATTGTGAGGAGACCAGGGGTGGCCTTGCGCATCTCGAAACGAAAAACTTTTTCATACAAGCGTTCCTACAAACAGTCTTTCGTTTCGAGATGCGCAATGTGCCCCCAGATCCGAATCTAGATTTATGAGAATCGGGAAATTCATCGGCGGACGTACGGATCCACTGAAATGGTATTACCATAGAGGTAACTCTAAGACTAGTAGGTCCCGAAGAAATGTGCTCAACTTTTTGGCTCAGCTCTGGTACTCTCTTCGGTCCCAAGCTAATCGATTCACCCCTCGAAACATAGGAATATCCACTAACCCCTCATTGTATCTGTTAAACTTTCATAGCGAATCAAAACAAACATAGTGTAGTACTGGAGTTTCGACTAGAATGGGATGCGTTAATCGATTTGCTTGGGACCAATAGGCTAGTCAAGAATGGAGCCAATTTAAAATCGTTAGTTTCGTATTGATTGTTGGTATTACCAACAATCAATACGAAACTGACGATTTTAAATTGGCTCACTACTTGACTAGCCTATTGGTCCCAAGCAAACGATTAACGTACCCCATTCTAGTCGAAATTCTAGTACTACACATTGTTTGTTTTGATTCGCTATGAAATTTTGACAGATAAAATGAAATTGTATCATTATTTATGTACGGTCCTTATATTTGAAATGACGTTTCACATTCATCTAGTGATTGCCGATTTTCATTTGAATAATCGATTAATCGATTAACGAACCGAAAATTAAAATATTTGTAATCAGTTATATCATACAGATACAAGCATTAACTTCTCTAGAGGATCATCACCGATTATTTCCGAGATTATTTCAAACATGCGCTGCACTATCATTCGTGGAAAAATGACAGCACAACTAACAAAAAATAATGGATTAGTTGTTAATCGAGTAATTAAAAAATGGGACATCTCTGATTATGGTGTGATTGTTTTGTAAAAAAGAGCGCAAAATTTCTTTTCTACCGGGGGCAGCAAAACCACTAAATTACCTTCCATACGGGGGGTATTCATTGGATGAAAGGGACCGTGAAAGAGGACACTAAAATAGAAAGTTTTTCTTCCGACAGTTTCATCTAAGTATTCATCTTTGGTAACACTGTATACTCAGCTTCCTGGATTTCAATGCGTTGTTGAGCAGAATCTCATTCTTATACCGGAATCCTTTTCTTCAGTACAGTGACCGCTCGATGTACATAACCACACGCTATTTCAAAACTACCCAAATTTGGGTAGAATCCATCCAGATCAGTCAGAACTGAACCCAAAAATACGTAAACTGTGTTGGGCGTGACAAGTTGACAAATGCACCATTGCCCCCAAAAATCTCTGCGCTCCCCCGCCTAAAGGCTTACCCAGAAGCCTCGAAAGGCCCATGGGTTGTTTTTTTCTGGCCCAAACAAAAACCTTTGAACATTCCGAGGATCTCTAAGGATCTAACAACACATTTTTCGGCTGTTACCGATATTTTCAGGGTAACACCAATAAAACTGCGCGTTACCGTTGATGACCGGAAGCAGGCTAACCAAATTGTAACATGCGAGCTTTTGGAATACCGAGTCTACATACCCAGTAGTGAGGTAGAAATTGAAGGAGTGGTCACCGAAGCGAGTTTGACTAGTGATGATTTCTTGGGTCCCGATTCCTTTGGAATCTTTAAAAACCGTGCTTTGCCGAAGGTGAAGATATTGGACTGCCTTCAAATGCAGTCAGTATCCGTAGTAGGCTCCAAAAAAACGTATTCCTTGTCAAACTCGTTTCGTGTGACCTTTTCGGGTTCAGCGTTACCTCACTACGTCGCTATTGGCAAGGTTCGGCTGCCTGTACGTCTGTTTGTACCTCGGGTAATGAACTGCTCGAAATGCAAACAACTTGATCATACATCGGACTACTGCTCGAACAAACCACGCTGCGATCAGTGTGGCGAGCAACATCAAGAGGGCCCTTGCGATGCTCCTCCAAAATGCGTGTACTGCAAGGAAAGCCTACATACCCTGACTGACTGCCCGAGGTATAAGCAGCAGGGAGAAAAACTTAAGCAGTCTCTGCAAGCTCGCTCCAAGAGAACACTAGCAGAACTCTTGAAGAATACCGCTTCATCTTCTCAGACCACACCAAAAAACAGTAACACGTTTTCCATTTTGCCAGTTGATGATCTAGACTCTGACTCAGAGGGCGGTGAGGGTAGTCCGTTTGTCTTTAAAGGCAATACGAGAAAACGAGCAAAACAACACACCACCGAAAAGCCTCGTAAGGCCACTCGTACGGACCACCCTTCCACCTTGGAAAAATCAAGAGGTAACGGAAATGCACCGAAACCCATTCCACCGGGTTTTAAACCTTGTAATTATGACAAGAACTTTCCGTCACTTCCAGGATCATCTAAAACCCCAGATGTCCCAGTTTTTCGGCCAGAAAAGCAGCTGAATAATCAGCAAGAACATGCCCCCATGTTCACGTTTTCTGGTATTGTGGATAGCTTCTTCAGTATATTCAATGTCTCTGACTCAACGAGGAGCATTATTAATTTAGTGCTGCCAATGGTGAAAACTCTTTTGAAGCAACTAGCTTCTAGGTGGTCCTTCCTTGCATCGATCATATCCTTTGATGGATAATTCTCCGAATGAGGTCGGGGATATGATCTCTGTTCTTCAGTGGAACTGTAGAAGTCTTATGCCAAAACTTGACACATTTAAATTTTTAGTTAACAATTTACTTTCTGATGCATTTGCCCTTTGTGAAACATGGCTCTCTTCAGACAACGATCTTGCTTTCCACGATTTCAACATTATTTGCCTTGACCGCGCAGATTCGTATGGAGGGGTGCTTCTGGGGATCAACAAGCTCCATTTCTTCTATAGAATCGATCTGCCTTCGGTGACAGGCATTGAAGTAGTTGCATGTCAGGTTAATATTCGAGGTAAATGCCTCAGTATTGCCTCAGTATATCTTCCACCGAAAACCGCGATCTCTCGTCAAAGTTTCGCGGATATCTGCACGGCTATGCCGGAGCCACGGTTGATCTTGGGAGATTTTAACTCTCACGGTACAGGCTGGGGGGAACGGTACGATGACAACCGCTGAACCTTGATATACGACATGTGCGACTTCTTCAAAATGACAATTCTGAACACCGGGGAAGCAACACGAGTAGCCAAACCTCCAGCAAAAATAAGCAGATTAGACCTCTCACTTTGTTCGAGTTCACTATCGTTGGATTGCTCGTGGAAAGTAATTCAAGATCCCTACGGTAGTGAGTGACCATTTGCCAA